TTGTGGACTATGAGAAAGCCTTTGACTCGGTCGAAATCTGGGCTGTTCTGGAGTCCCTGCAGCGATGCCAAATAGATTGGCGATACATCCAAGTGATGAGATGTCTCTACGAGGCCGCCACCATGTCCGTCCAAGTACAGGATCAGCAAACAAGGCCGATACCGTTGCATCGAGGTGTGAGACAAGGGGATGTTATCTCCCCGAAATTGTTCACAAATGCAATGGAGGATATGTTCAAGACGCTGAACTGGAAAGGACGCGGCATCAACATAAATGGCGAGTACATCTCTCACTTGCGATTTGCAGACGACATCGTCATCGTAGCAGAAACGCTGCAGGACCTACAACGGATGCTGAATGACCTGGCTGACTCTTCTATACGCATCGGCCTACGGATGAACTTGGATAAAACCAAGGTCATGTTCAATGAACATGTACTACCGGAACCGATTGCAGTACACGGCGCTGTTCTCGAAGTCGTTCAAAAATATGTATACCTCGGGCAGACATTGCAGATGGGTAGAAACAACTTCGAGAACGAGGTGAATAGAAGAATTCAGCTAGGTTGGGCAGCATATGGAAAGCTGCGTCAGGTCTTCACGTCGTCGATCCCACAGTGCCTAAAGACGAAAGTCTTCAATCAGTGCGTCCTACCTGTCATGACATACGGAGCCGAAACGTGGACACTGACGGTGCGGCTGGTTCACAAGCTAAAAGTCACTCAGCGAGCTATGGAGAGGGCTATGCTCGGCGTTTCTCTGCGAGATCGAATCAGAAACGAGGTGATCCGGCAGAGAACCAAGGTAATCGACATAGCCCACCGGATTAGCAAGCTGAAATGGCAGTGGGCTGGCCATATTAGCAGAAGAACCGATGACCGTTGGAGTAGACGAGTTCTTGAGTGGAGACCGCGTCTCGGCAAACGTAATGTAGGACGTCCTCAGGCAAGGTGGAGTGATGATTTGCGCAAGATGGCTGGCAGGAGCTGGATGCGAGTGGCCGAAGATCGATCCCAGTGGCGTGCAATAGGAGAGGCCTATGTCCAGCAGTGGACTGAAAAGGGCTGATGATGATGATGATGAACTTATTTTAAAATTGGGAAAATATTCCTTAATTATTATTTTTACGTTAGCGTACTCGCTCTAACATACACGTGGTCATTAAGAGTAAAAGAGACAGATATACTGCACTTGTGTCCCGATGTCCCTCTCAATGCACCCTGCACTACAAGTACATCAATATCACTCTACAGTTCGGAGCTATCCTCTCATACAACATCATGGAGTATACAGGTTAGGAGTGCCATCTGTGTACCTCTACTCTTGCTCCGGGTACCACATACCCGACTAAGCAACTACACGTTGGTCAGAGACCGGACAGTAGCGCTCTCTGATAAACCTGAACCTTTTAAACTGCGATCTCCAACCCGCCTGTCTGCGGAGATTGTGGCAAACCCCTCTTATGTAGAGGAGGCACATACCTCAACAGTGGGGATTTTAAAAGGTATAGGTCGGCAATCTAGAAAACGGATTAACTGATGGTAAGCAATCGGCGCCGCTGTTAGAAAGTTCGTTGCCGGAATTTGTAGGTTGTAAGTGATTTGAGGAATTGGAATGGGTCTCTCAAAACGATGGACTGGGCCTTCGGTAATACCTGTTTTCTGTGACTTGTTTCGGTCCAGTTTTCTGTGACGCCATGGTATCATTCCGATCGAGCCGACCCATTCGTGCTCTCCCACACTTGACAAGGATTTAAAAGTGTCAGACTCTGTACCCTCTGTATACCCTTTCGCTTCTTTGGCGCCTATTAATTTGGAACTCCTAATTTCTATACTCTATGTAAATACTGAAAACATCAAACATTTTGTCAATACAATTTCGACCTTATAACAAAATGATAAAGTTGCAACTGTAATAAATTTTTGACATATTGGGATAGCTTGATCAGCTGATGTCTGAACAAGATGGCCGCCAGTTCTAGGATCCAATCAGATCGAGCTAAATTACTACTGCGGGGAAATCTGCGCGCCTTTTCTCACACACGCGAAAATACGTAAGGACATTTGGTTGTACTTTTCTATTATTTCAATGGTGAATATTAAATTAGAAAAAAGGTTTTTAAATAAATAAGTAACTCAAAAAAATAGTCCAAGAAATTAGCTTTCATTTGAAACTATAATGTTAGAACAACAGTATGATAGTTTACGAGAAAATTCACCCCAAAATTGCAATTCCTGCATCGCGCTATCAAAATTTTCTCGCTCGGTTTATAGAGGAGCGAAACTTAAGAGGGAACGTTTGGAGGTCCCTTGCTACTCCGTAAATCGGTGTACTAGGAGCCGACCTAAGTCCTAGCAACTGAAATAATGAACAGAACTGTAGAAAGTGAATGACGAAATCAAGAGGATCACGGACCCTCAACCCCGCGGCAGTAGCTAATATGACCTCCTTTTGTCACTCCAAGCAAATATTTTTGTATAATATATTGAAATAATGACTGAATGACATAAATCTTTAGATCAAAACTCTTTTTTAAAGGTTTTCGTGACTGCTAAAGTTATTCTGAATAAGAAAAATGAGGTACAGTAAGGGTCAAAAGTGCAGTTGCACTCTACTAATTTTAAAATGACTAAAATTTCTTTGTATAAAAGTTCAATGGTTCACAGCCAGTTTATTCAATAATTTAGATTCTATGCCATAAATTAAAGCCTCAACCATTGACTCTATTCTACAAAGATATTTTGGTCATTTTAAAATTGGTAGAGTGCGATTGCATTTTTGACCCCTGACTGTACATACATTTCGCGTTATTTTTTTATGTTATAGGTCGGCAAAAGAGCAGACGGATTACCTGATGGTAAGCAATCAGCGCCGCCCATGGACACTTGCAACGACGGAAGAGTAACGAGTGCGTTGCCGACCTTTTGGGGATTAGAGATTTGGAATTAGGACGGATTAGGGGAAGGGGAACGATTGGGTCTCTCCTAACCTCACTTACACGGCGAAACACAACGTTGTGGTTGTTTCACGCCGGTTTTCTGTGAGGCCGTGGTATCACTCCGGTCGAGCCGACCCATTCGTGCCGAAGCATGGCTCTCTCACACTTAATTAGCATATTGCCCAGAAATAGAGTCATAGTCAAAATCATTTATTTCAATTAGACCCATACAGGCACTTTTGAACGTCAAACAAAATTTTTAAGATATAAAGTGTCAGTCTGTCGGTCAGTCCTCTTAGTGAAGTTTCTTGAGTTCTGTTGTATGAACATGATTGGCTCATATAATCCGTCCGAAAACGGGGCAGGTCGCTAGTATCTTAAAATATCTGATTGGTACTGTAGTTAAACAGACTGAAACTTTTTCATTTGAAATAAAAAAATCTTTTAGTAGGTAAATTTTGTAGCTGTCTATGCTACGCCGTAGTACAAAGGGCTACGCCGTAGTAAACTATGGAGCTACGACGTAGTCCTGCAGTTATTTTGTTTTATGATACTGTTTTGTATTGGTGATGATAAAAACTGAGGAATGATGATGACGATGATGATGATTGTCGGCTTCTAATGACGATTTGAAACGTGAGTGATGGTTTTTTTTTAATTCGCAGAAAAGAGCCCGATCTAGTTAGATCGGTGGCTGGCAACCGGCTGATGGTCAACTGTGCAACGTTAACAGGTTCGATCCCCGCACAAAACAACTCTATGTGTGATCTACAAACAATTGCTTGCCTTGCTTAGTCAATAATATTTAAATCATATGATTAGCATAATGTCGTCCATCGAACAATAATTATGTAATAAGATACCCTGAAACACAGGTTTAAATAAATCTAGTTCAGGTGTTCTCTAGGCACTTTACTTTTCAAAGTTTATCTCTTTATATATCATCATAATTATAATAATTAAGATTAAGTTAACTCTTTCTTATAAATGTAATTAGGTCAAAACTTATTATTACTTAAGTCAATTGAGCTAGCTGTTTAAAGTGTGGTCTTTGTTTTTCAATAAATTTATTTCATTTTATATTATTTTTTTTATAATTTCCAGGTTGGTGTATGACGTGTATGTGATATTGTATGTTTGTAAACAGCCAAGACACGGGAGAAAATCTTAAGGTGAGGCAACATTTTGTTTTAAACAAGAACTAGAGCAGGGCTTTCTGTAAATGGTAAATCACGGGAAACTGTGCCTGAAGAATCTTAAACAACCCATATTTTTGTTGAGAGGCACCAGTGTTGACACACGTCACTTTATGTTTTCTAGTTTCTACTTCTTGTTTCTTTTTGTCCCTTTTTGAGCTTTTTTAATATTTAAAACTTGTGATTTTGCAGTATGCACATATTGTTACGTTACTATCTAGATCAAAACCTTTAGTTTTTAAGCTAATAAGATTTGATTGTAATGTGTTTTATGCGTGAAATAAATAAATAAATTTCAAAAACCATCTCGAAAGTCACACTCCACTTCGGTTCTCATCTCACCTGTACGCAAACGTCAAAACACTCACTCGTTTTAGTTCCTTTTACTTCGTTATTCACATGGTGGCGCCAATGTAGATTTTACTCCTTTTGAGAATACGAAAATTAAAATAAACATGATTTCACCGCGGATTCAGAAGTGATTTCGCAAATTAATTTTTAAAAATAGCATAGTTAAACTCACGACCCGTAGTGTACCGCGCGCGCCTCAAAGAGCTATTAAAGCACCACAGATGGGGCCTAATAAGACCGATGTTTGGGGTGCAAACGCAAAAAAAACCCACGACACATGAGAAAATTCTGGGTTGAGTCAACGTCTTTTACGTAAATCGTCACTTTTTATTACATATTATATTAAATATTATAAATCAGAAATTGAGTTTGTTTCTTTGTTTGTTTGTTGCGCTTTCACGCCATAACTACTGACGCTATTGCTTTGAAATTTTGCAAGCGTAAAGTTAGCTAGAAGTCTTGTATAACCACAAACAAAACCGCGGGAGGTAAGCTAGTAATTAATATACCACTCACCCTCTCCTCCACATTGCTAAAGGTTGTGTCCGAAGTGATGATGAGAGGGTCATCGCACAGCCCTCCGAAACAGAAGCCCGGAGGAGCAGCAAAGCCATCAAACAGCTTGTGAGTGAATATATCCGTTGAGGCACCTAGAGCAAAAATGGATTTATAAATAAGATTTGAAGTTTCTTTACTTATAATTAATCATATTAATCATCATCATCATCAGCCTATGGATAAGTGCCCACTGCTGAGCAAAGACCTCTTCTCACACGGAGAAGGTTTGAGCATGAATCACCACGCTCGCTCAAGGTTATTGAAATATTGCTGGTTAAGGTTATTGAAAGCTTGTTCATAGGAATTGGCGATATAATAGATTTTTTTTTTAAATGTTGCCCCATTTTAGGATATTCTCCTGTGTTGTAGGTGCGTTTACAAACATACAGTTTCACATACACATCACACGCTGACCCGGAACAACAATCTGTAGATCACACAAAGAGTTGTTCCGTGTGGGAATCGAACCCGCGACACGTTGCGCGGCAGCCAGTTGCCCAGCCACCGCGCCGACCGTGCAATTATAAGTCCACGTTTCCTTTACCGTATGTCAGTGGTGTCTAAATAATAATAGAAAGTACATGTAACTCGGAAAAGTCACATTGGTAATTGCTAAGCTTCGAACTTGCACCCTCATGCAAGAAAAGTATAAAGTACACTTTACCTAAATCATCGCTGCCTCTCCAAACGAACTCAAGAGATTTGCTTTTCATTCTGGATAGTTCATCATCATAACTGATTGGGCTTATAAAATGGCCGTCGAAACCCATCTGTGCCATTAAAGAGGCAAATTCCCGCGAGTGACCATACACATCGGATTGCCAAGTAACTAATGGACGACCACATTCCAAAAATGTTGCGTTGATTTTCCTGCGAACATACAATCATATTATCATTGTCTATACTAATATTATAAAGAGGTAAAATTTGTAAGTTTGTATGTAGGGGGTAATCTTTGGAACTGCTGGTCGGATTGCCAAAATTCTTTCACTGATAAATAGCTACAATGTTCCTGAGTGCTATAGGCTATAAAACATGACGCTACGATAAAATGGAGCCTAGCAGCGGGTGAAACGGGAAAATCGGGTGATCACTAAGTGAGATGAGAGAGCCATGCTTCGGCACGAATGGGTCGGCTCGACCGGAGTGATACCACGGCATCACGGAAAATGGACGTCAAGCAACGCTTACGTTGTGTTTCACCGTATAAGTTAGATTACCAGAGACCAAATCCTTTCTCCTGCTCCCATCCTCAATCCTAACATTCTTCAAGAGGTCGGCAAAGCACTTGTAGTAACTCCTTTGGTATTGCGAGTGTCCATGGGCGGCGCTGATTGCTTACCATCAGGTAATCCATCTGATCTTTTGACGTAATATGAAAAAATCATCATCATCACCCTCATCTAATATCGGAACGAAGTTCTAATAAGTTAACTTGTTTTTCGGATTCTTTGCCTAAACATTAGTGTTTCACTGTTCTCACATATAAGAACCGACTAAATAATGTAACAAAGAAATGTATTGTAAAACTGATTGAAAAAGAGTAACCATGGAGTTTCTTGCTCGTTCTTCTCCATAGCAATCTACACTTTGGAACGAGCAAATAGCTTCACTAGAGGACAGACGGACAGACTGACACGCCTAACGTTAAAGCTCTTGAAATACTTTTTACTTTTTTTTGCTTGACGTTCAAAAGTGCCTATGGTGGTCTAATTGAAATAAATGATTTTGACTTTGACTTTAATATTGAGGATCGGAGGACAGGAAGGATTAGGCCTCCGGTAACCTCACTCACACGGCGAAACACAACGCTGTGGTTGTTTCACACCGATATTCTGTGAGGCCGTGGTATCACTCCGATCGAGCCGACCCATTCGTGCCGAAGCATGGCCCTCCCACACTTAGCATGTAGTCAGGGGTCAAATATGCAATTGCACTCTACCAATTTTAAAATGACCGTAAATATCTTTGCAGAATAGAGTCAATAGTTGAGGACTGCTTTAATTTATAGCATAGAATCTAAATTATTGAATAAACTGGCTGTGAACAACTGAACTTTTAGTACAAAGAAATTTTGGTCATTTTAAAATTGGTAGAGTGTAATTGCATTTTCGACCCCTAACTGTACGTGTCGCAGGGTATTTCGTACCGTAAACTGTAAGTAAAATGGTCTATAATTGCGTGATAGCTGGTGGTAGCTTCGTCGCTCATACTCCAACCGCCTCCAACGAAATACAGCCGGCCTTGTCGAAGAAGCTGGTACACCATCCTTTTTACTGCAAAACAAACATTTTTTAATGGTATAAGTCGGCAAACTAGCAGACGGATTACCTGATGGTAAGCAATCGGCGCCGACCATGGACACCCGCAACAACAATGGAGTGACGAGTGCGTTGCCGGCCTTTTGGGGATAGGGGTTGCGGATATAAAGATCGGGAAGGGATAGGTGAAGGGGCGGGATTGGGCCTACGGTAACCTCACTCACAAAGCTGTGGTTGTTTCACACCGGTATTCTGAGAGGTCGTGGTGTCACGCCGGTCGAGCCGATCTATTCGGGTCGAAGCATGGTTCTCCTACACTTAAAATGTGTCTATGAGCGGCGCAGATTGCTTACCATCAGGTAATCCAGTCTGCTCAGTTTGCCATCGAAGAAAACGAAATTAATTATTGCGTTTTTTATTTACCAGTTAAATCTCTGTTTTGCCACCAATGGAATAAATATGCCATATCGGAAAATGTGAATCTGAAATAGAAGAAAGAAATTAATATTTTGTAAAATTGACGTGGATTGGATGGTTCATCGTCAGCCTATAAGTGCCCAATGCTGGACAAAGGCTGCTCACACGGAGAAGGTTTGAGCATTAACCACTACGCTCGCTCAAAGTGATTTCAAACGTTCAGGTTTCAGGTTTTCACGATGTTTACCTTCACCGTATGTCAGTGGTGTCTAAATACACTTAGAAAGTAACTCGGACTCAGTCACATTGATAATAGCCAAGTTTGAAACATGCATGGGAAGCGGGCACCTATTTTTTACCTCAGTCTAATTGGTGTCGGCGGGCGGTGACCTCGCGCCCCAGCCGCCGCAGTAGACGACATTTCGGGCATCGGGGATCGAGAGATAATCTCCGGCCACCGTAAGCACGGGTCTGCGGACGGCGAGTAAAGATAGCTCGCCGCCCGACTAGAACCAGACCCGAGCGTACGGCGCGTAGCGTTCCGCGCGCGCCTCAAAGGGCCAATGGACCACCACAGACGGGGCCCTATAGGGCTGATGTTCAGCCGGGGTTGCGGGTTAAGCGCAATGAGTCACCGCGGCCTCGGCCCAGAGCAGGAGCTAGTTGGTGTGACGTATTCAAATACTTGATATTATTTTAATATACGTTCCCCTCACTAGGATTTAACATACAATTTTACATACAAATTACACCCAGACTCACGGAACAACAATTTGCTGATCACTCAAAGAGTTGTTCCATACGAGCTTCTCAGCAATCGCACCAACAGTGCAGTCAAATTACAGTACAGTTTTTCTCAGTTAATGTCACGTGATGATTTTTCCAAACTAATATTATAAATGCGAAAGTAACTCTGTCTGTCTGTATTTTCTTCACGCCTAAACTATTGAACCGATTTGTGTGAAATTTGTTACAGACATAGTTTGTAACTCGAGAAAGGACATAGGAAAGTTTTTATATCAAAAATCTACAAGAAGTCACTATTCCACGTGAACGGAATCGCGGGCATAAGCTTCGTTTTCGATAAATTTTGTACTTATGTCTCATGATAGTTACTATTCAAAAATTATAATAACATAATAATACTTACTTTCTTTCATTGTGTGCCCATAAAGCCGTGATGACAGCATCCAGAATATTCTTCATATTAACCTTACTATGTCCGTAAATCTCGTCATCTGAAAATAAAGAATACCTATAATTTTAAGCGTGGGAGAACCATGCTTCGGCACGAATAGGTCGGCTCAAAATCATTTATTCCAACTAAACCATAAATAGGTACTTTTGAAACGTCAAAATAGAAAAGTAGTCTGTCAGTCTGTTCGTCAGTGAAGCTAGGTGCTCGTTCCAAATTGTAGATTCGAATGGAGAAGAACGAGCAAGAAACTCCATGAAGACTCGACTCGACCGGAGTGATACCATGGCCTCATGAAGCAACACTTGTTTACGTGATGTTGCGCCGTGTAATTGAAGTTATCGGAGGCCCAATTCTTCCCCAATCTCCCATCCTTCATCCTCAAAACCCCTATCATTAAATCCCTAATAACCCACAAAAGGTCGGCAACGCACTCCTTTAATATTACGGGTACTCCAGAGGAGTTACGAGTGCGTCGCCGACCTTATTAGCCGTCGATAGGGATCTCCAAATCCCTAAGATTAGGAGATTTTGGGATTGGGGGAGGGGAAGAATAGGGCCTCCGATAACCTAAGTCATTAAGGAGCCCGCTTCTCATGCATGAGGTGTAGGTTCGAAACCTGGCAAGTACCAATGTGACTTTTTCCGAAGTTATATGTACTTTCTATGATTATTTTGACACCACTGACATACGGTAAAGGTAAACATCGTGAGGGAACCTGGACTTATAATTTCTAATTATAAGTTTGAAATCGCTAACCCGCATTGAGCAAGCGTGGTGATTAATGCTCTAACCTTCTCTGTGTGAGAAGAGGCCTTTGCTCAGTAGTGGCCACTAATAGGCTGATGATGATGATGACGATGATGATGAACCTAAGTCACACGGCAAAAGACATCTGCTGCAGTTGTTTCACGCTGATTTTCTTCGAGGCCGTGGTATTACACTTTTCTGTGAGGCTCTCTCGATCAACTACGAACTACGGTCGAGCCGTCCCATTTTCTCCATGGAAACCATCCTACATTACAAAAGAATACCAGCGCAGGGAGCAAAGGGCGCTTACCACTCTATTTTCCTTTCTCAACTCACCTTGCCTACCTACCTATCTGTCCCCTTATTTCCAATACACCTGCGCAAACCATAGTAAATATCTTCGCTCATCTAATAATCGACTCCTCAACTGTCCAACTCAAAATTTCTTCACTCCTCCTTTTCTTCTGTGGAATGCGCTACCCCCCGATGTCAGGACTGTGACTAGTCGGCTGACATCCAAGCAGAGAGTTCGAGAGCTTCTTCTGAGGAGGGTTGGGGAGTCATCGTGATCACGACTACATTTATGTATATATATGTATGTATGTATTTATATGTGTAAGTATATTAAGTAGTATGTGTTTTATAATATATATAAGTATAGTTCTATGTACTTTATGTATGCTAATATATACCTATGTTTTACCATTCTATTTCGCTTGCTTCTTGCATCTACTACTGGATTCTCTGCATCACCCAAAGGTCGACTGGTAGAGAATGCTCAATGCATTAAGTCCGCCTATGTACAAATAAATTGTGCATGAAGTATAAATAAATAAATAAATAAAATACTCACATCCAGTATAATGTTGGTAGAATGTCTTCGATACACCAAGTTCAGCGTGCGTGCTTGGAATGATATGTACGTTGATGACATTCCGACCCATCAGAGGGCAGGCCTGTGCACAAAATAAAATTCATTTATTAAGTGAAACGTTGGCAAACGAGCTGACGGATTACCTGATGGTAAGCAATCAGCGCCAACAAGTGCCAACAAAAGAGGAGTTACGAGTACGTTACCCACCTTTCGGGAATAAGGGATTTGGAGATTTAGTGATTGGGGAAGGGGAAGGATTGGGCCTCTGGTAACCTCACACACATGTGACACCTTCATGACACACCTCACATACATCGTAAATACCCTGAGAGATTTCAACAACACTTAAACAACACTCATACATACTAGCACGTACACATTGCACACATTAACTGCACGGTCGGCGCGGTGGCTGGGCAACTGGCTGCCGTGCAACGTGTCGCGGGTTGATTCCCGCACGGAACAACTCTTTGTGTGATCCACAGATTGTTGTTCCGGGTCTGGGTGTGATGTGCATGCGAAATTGTACTTTCGTAAACGCACCCACGACACAGGAGAATATCCTAATGCGGGGCAACGTTTTTTTAAAAACAAAAATTAACACACTCAAACACAATCATTATTAAATTAACTAAAAATCGCGGGTTACTCACGGGTAAATATTGAGAAAAGCTCTACTAGTTTCGAACCACAGAGGGGTTTTTTATGTTTTTCTCAAGCTTTTCTCAATATATACACGTGAGTAACCCGCGATTTTTAGTTAATTTAGTATGTCTCACGATAGTTATTATAAAAACACAATCATTATTATTTTCTTTGTAAACAACCACCTTTTTTGTTTATATCAGTGTCATAATTATGCCCTTATTCATCCCATATACAAATCTGTATCAAAAACGCAGATAAGATTAGCGCATTGCGTCTCAATAAACTCCCTCTTGGGGCGGGTTTAACCACGAGTGGATAAAAAAAAACGGCGAAACAACACTGTGGTTGTTTCACGCCGGTTTTCTGTGAGGCCGTGGTATCACTCCGGTCGAGCCGACCCATTCGTGCCGAAGCATGGCTCTCCCACACTTAAAAAAGTTTAAGTATTGAGAAGTTCCTTATTAATTGGTTAGAAAAGGGAACAGAAAAAATTCTATTTGTTATAACTTTCGTGAGACATTTTAAATTAATTATTATGTTTAAATCTGCGTCAAACTGCACTGTTGCGGGTCTGGAGTGTGACACAGTTAGCGCGGTATGTAAAACTGTTTTTGCGTCGACCCGGGATTCGAACCCAACACCAACGCAGCTGCAGGCGGGCGAGTCTAGCATGCCAACAGGGTCGCGCGCGCCGTCGCTGCCGACACCACGGCTAGAAGAAAGTGCGCGTGAATCGCGAGAGAGGGCGCGTTGGGCGCGCAGACTCGAGTAGCCAGTAGCAGCGCGACAGTCGCCGAGTCGCGTGTCGCGGAATGCTGCTCATGAATATGGGCCTCTAGCATGGCTTGAAACTAGTCGAGTATCTCGTCAAATTTTTACGTAAGTAAGCCGAAAACATAATAATTAATTAAGAAAACATTCTCACCGTATAGCCACATCCTTCTCCATACTGAACTATTGGAGTCAACAGATCCTTGGTCACAGCTGACATACCCACTACCGAATCGAATCCAGAAAAATATACCAATATAAAAAATAACATATCTCTTTTGGATAAACACTGAATCCTATCTAACTGTTTTTTTTACACTTTTCACAAATCACTAGCGTCCCTCTTCACGCGGGTGTCATATACCCTATCAAGGGATTACATTGACAGCGTCTGTAGATATACTCTCTGATAAAACTGAACCTCTAAAAAGCAATCCATAACACTTTTACTGTTGAAGTATGTGCCTTCTTTAGCCAGGGTTGCGGGGTAAGCGCAATGAGGCTACAGCCCTGGCTTAGAGCAGGAGAAGGAACGGGGGGGTTTAGTCAGTAAGAGTCTGACACTCTCTTACTATGCGGGAGAAGTAATTTGATGATAAAAAAGCAAGTGCCTCCTCTACATAAGAGGGATTTGCCACAATCTCCGCAGACAGGCGGGTTGAAGATCGCAGTTTAAAAGGTCCAGGTTTATCAGAGAGCGCTGATGTCTGGTCTCTGTCTAATGTATCTTCCTTTAGTTGGGTATAGAATACCCTAGAGGAATCAGGGTGTTGTTAAATATATTCCACATCACAACCTAACATAATATAGAAAACACTGTTCACAGGGTTCACGAAAATTATAATTTCTTTTTCAACAACCAATTTAATTTAATTACTTAATTTATGAAGTTTAGCTTCAGTTAAATCTCTCGTTAAACTATCAACAAAATATCTTTGAGTGCTATTATATATACACAGGCTTAAAAACTTTATTTATTAATATTTTGTTTTGTCATTTGAGTACCAATGAATATAAACAAATTTAACTACTGATGCTCCACGGCTTTGGCTACCCAAATAAGATTTATGTATATTTATTTTCCAACAAGCTTCCGCCCGTGGCCTCGCCCGCTTAATCTACATCTATACTATACTAATATTATGAAGAGGTAAAATTTGTAAGTTTGTATGTAGGGCGTAATCTTTGGAACCGCTGGTCGGATTGCCAAAATTCTTTCACTGATAGATAGCTACAATGTGCCTGATTGCTACAGGCTATAAAACATCACGCTACGATTAAATGGAGTCGAGCAGCGGGTGAAACCGTGCGAGAGTAGCTAGTATGTTGATAAAAAGAAGCCCATGTCCTATTCCGATCCTCAACTCTCTATAATATGGTTGAGTTGGGCGATGCTGGTGTACGTGTCATGTTCGTGAACGGGCGCCGTTAGTTAGGGCTGGTCAACTCCGGACTGTCTATTGTCCCTAAGGTTATTTTCTTTTTTTTATGTAATAGGTCGGCAAACGAGCAGACGGATTACTTGATGGTAAGCAATCAGCGCCGCCCATGGACACTCGCAACTGAGTAGTTACGAGTGCGTTGCCGACCTTTTAGGGATTAGGGATTTGGAGATGTAGGGATTGAGGAGGGATTGGGGGCTAGGAAGGATTGGGCCTCAAGTAACCTCACTCACACGGCGAAACACAACGCTGTGGTTGTGTCACGCTAGTATTCTGTGAGGCCGGGGTATCATTCCGGTCGAGCCGACCCATTCGTGCCGAAGCATGGCTCTCCCACACTTAAAATATTAGTGTTACACTGTTCTAATATAATTGAACCAACTGTTTGTATAAGGAATCTGTATGTGAAACTGATTTAAGAAGAGTAACCATGGAATTTCATGCTCGTTCTTCTCCATCGGAATCTATACTTTGGAACGAGCAAATAGCTTCACTAAGAGGACTGACCGACAGACTGACACTATATCTTCAAAATTTAGTTTGACGTTCAATAGTCCCTGTTAGGTTTTAATTGAAATAAATTATTTTTGACTTTGACTTTCCGAAGTGTATACTATGCCTGTGCCAAATTTCATACAGATCCGTCCAGCCGTTTTGTAACAAACATCCAAACATCGTAACTTTCGCATTTATAATATTAGTAAGATTATAAGTTCACTTAATGAGTGACAGACAACACACAGCTGTAAATTCTGTACGTGTTCAAATTCAAATTCAAATTCAAATGTTTATTGCATTCCATAATGTTACATTAGGTGTTATTATATGTGTATCAGTATTAAGATCATTATGGACCCTGTCGGGCACAACAAATTACAAAATAATAAAATTAACTTACATTACAAAATAATAAAATCAACTTATATGACAAAATAACAAAATTTAACTTATGAAATTATAAAGTTCAAATATATTTTAAAATTAAATTAAATTAGGAAATAAAATAAATTTATGAACTTAATTTAAATTAGGAAATTAGGTAAATTAAATTAATAATAATAAAAATGTTTTTAATCTATAACTCCGTAACGTAAAACATCTTATACATTAGAGAGGTATATGTATATGTAACTTTACAGTATTTTTGAAAATAATCTTCTTGTGATATACCTAAAATTATTATTGTATTTGTACTTTCTTACTAATTAAATTATGACATCATTCATTCGTTTCATCAAAGAAATCTTTCAAGGTATAATAAAATCTTTCAATTAAATATTTTTTTAGTCTTACTATAAATACACTGTTTTTTTCTATTTCTACAATTTCTTTTGGCAGTTTATTATATATTTTTATGGACATTACTATTGTGTTACAGAAGGCACAAGATGATTTTTAGTAAGTAAGAGTCTGACACTACCTCTTGCTTTATATTGGACGGGACGAAGTGCTCTGATGATTATTCCAGAACAAAAAAAGACCTCAGTATTATAATAATAGCCGGGGTTGCAGGGTAAGCGCAATGAGGCACCGCGACCTCGGCCCAGAGCAGAAGGAACGGGGGGTTTTTAGTCAGTAAGAGTCTGACACTCCCTCCCGCCCTGCCCTGGGCGGGAGAAGTCATTTGATGATTTTCCCCTCACAAAAAAAAAGTATTATAATAATAGCTTCAAGTTTTGTCATTTTTTGCGATAAGTTTGTCGCTCTTTACCTTTCCCAGGCCAAGGTCTTTTTTTGTGAGGGGAAAATTGCCAAATGAGTTCTCCCGCCCTTGTGTCAGACTCTTACTGTGAAATAACCTCCCCGTTCCTTCTCCTGCTCTGGGCCGAGGTCGCGGTGCCTCATTGCGCTTACCCCGCAACTCCGGCTAAACATCAGCCCTATAGGGCCCCGTCTGTGGTGGTCTATTTTCTCTACGAATGCTTCGCGCTGTACGCTCGGGTCTGGTTCTGGTTGGACGGCGAACTACCCTTGTTTACAGTTCACAGATCCGGAGCCATGGTGGCTGGAGATCTCTTACCCGATATCTGACGCCCGGAGTGTCGCCTACTTTGGCTGCTAGGGCGTTATCCCTTACGAGCTCAACCTCATCCTTTTTGGCATCACTGCTTCACAGAAAGACTTCCCGGTTCCTCTCGCTCCGCACCATGGCCTCGACTAAGGCCGGGCGCGAGAGGTCGCCGCCGCCGCCACTTCCCTGAGGACACGGCGGTGTTCAGTCCAAGCAGGGCACACCGCTGCTCGTTATTGGCAATGACGAACAGACAGACACAAGTTCGTAGTATGTATATAGAGAATTTAACACAAAAATGTTTGTTTTTAAATCTGATCTTCTTGTAAATATTATTGTTATTTTATTTTAATATTGTTTTTGATTCATCTTATGAAGTGATTCAGTCCTTAAATTTTTCGGTTTTCGGCTAGTCCCTTCCTCCTTGGAGTTCGCCATTTGTTCTGTTAGAGAATCGCCACGGCATTGATAGGTTTGCTAATTCTTTTTTTATTGAATAGGTCTGCAAATGAGCAGATGGATAACCTGATGGTAAGCAATCGGCGCCACTCATGGACACCCGCATCACCAAAGGAGTTACGAGTTTGTTGCCGGCCTTTTGTGGATAGGGGTTGCGGATATAAGGACCGGGAAGGGATAGGGGAGGGATTGAGCCTCCGCCATCCACAATCCAATGAACGTTAATACTCCTTCAGCCATCTTCTTTTCTCAAATTCTAATTATATACAATTAGTGCGAACGTTTCAGGATTTCTAGGAAATTTTCTCTGGATCAATATTTACTTTCAAATTAGAAAAATTATTTTCTTTAAAAAAAAACGTCCCACACTAGGATTTTCTCCTGTGTCGTGGGTGCGTTTACAAACATACAATTTCACACACACAAGCCCGCCAGAACCGAAACAACAATTTGTGGATTACACAGTGTTGTTCCGTGCGAGAATCGAGCCCGCGACACGTTACACAGCGTCAGTTGCCCAGCCACAGCGCCTACAGTACCTACTGTAAGATTTAAGCTATTACAGGCTAAATAAAAAACACCTCGTTCCTTCTTCTGCAGTTGTGGTAGTCTGGCGTGTATTAATATAGGTATAGTTTCAGCTTGGAGTTGTCCACGGAATAGATAAATAAGGTAAGTAATAAGACCTTATTTATCTATTCCGTGGAGTTGTCATGCTCACTCAGAGGTCTCATTGGCGGTGGCGCAGGCACTGGATCGCTCGATTCCCTATATTATGGTTGAGTTGAGCGATGTTGGTGTACGTGTCATGTTCGTAAACGGGCGCCGTCAGTTGGGACTGGTCAACTCGAGACTGTCTATTGTACTTAAGGTTATTTTCTTTTTCGTATTCTTCGGCTGAACATTAGTGTTACCTACACTATTCTCACATAATGGAACCAACTTAATGATGTAAGAAAGAATTGAATTGTGAAACTGACTGAAAAAGAGTAACCATGGAGTTTCTTGCTCGTTCTTCTCCATCGGAATCTACACTTTGGAACGAGCAAATAGCTTCACTAGAGGACAGGCCGACAGACTGGCACACACAAAGTTGAACTACTACTACTACTCAAGGCTAGTAGTACTCAAGGTAGGCTGCGCGACGTCGCCGCGTCCGCGCACGCTGCTCATGAGGAAGAACCCCTCTGTGGTTCGAAACTAGTAGAGCTTTTCTCAATATATACAGGTGAGTAACCCGCGATTTTTAGTTAATTTAGTATGTCTCACGATAGTTATTATAAAAACACAAAGTTGAACTTTTTAATATACATATTTTTTTTTGTCATTCAAAAGTGGATATTATGGTCTATTTGAAATAAATGACTGATGACTTTTTCAGTAGCATACTACGCAAGAGATATTATTATAGTGCCCTGAGCACTATAATATGTATGTGTGCCTAAATACGAATGCACTCTCTGAATCAAAGATACGGATGACGAAAAATGTCTGTATGCCTGTAGAATGGTTAAGCAACGGACTAAAAGGTTCTATGAGGGGCATTAACTACAATACGGTAGTTTCCAACTAGTCAAACTCAATACTTTTATCCAAATGTCAAAAACGATACTTTTCACTTGATCTCACTATCCCGGCTAAGGACTAATACGACTTTACATGAGCTCCAAGACTGGAGATGAAACACGGCTGAACTTTCCGTAGGCAAGACGATAGTAGTAGAAAATAAGTCACTTCTTATTTGTTCTTTAAAAAAGAACGTCGCCTCTCGCTACGTTTTTCTCCTGTGTCGTGGGTGCGTTTACAAACATACAAGTCCAGATACACATCACACCCGGACAAGAAAGAATGATTTGTAAATCAAACCCGCGACAAGTTTCACCACTGCCAATACCCCCGACTCCGTTATTTGGTCACTCATAGTCATTGATGTCTCAACACATAATTTTCAGACAACAATACAAAATACAATGGCAGTTTTTGTCTGACTACGCGGGAATCGAACCCGCGACACGTTGCACAGCAGCCAGTTACTTCGACAACTGTGAAGTTGCTATAAAGTAAATCTTATATACCCATATGTGTGTGTATATGTTGCCAAGCGCAAATCTCGAGAACAGCTGAACCAAATTTCTCTAAATATTTTGTAGTTTCTTATCGTCAGGAGTAACTTATGTATAAAATAGCAGGATACCTACCAAGAGGCGATAGGTAAGGTAGTGTATGTAGATAAGGTAGGGTAGGTAGGTAAGGTAGGGTAGGTAGGTAAGGTAGTGTATGTAGATAAGGTAGGGTAGGTAGGTAAGGTAGGGTAGGTAGGTAAGGTAGGGTAGGTAGGTAATGTAGGTTAGGTAGGAAATGTAGGGTAGGTAGATAAGGTAGGGTAGGTACGAAGGTAAGGTAGTGTAGGTAGGAGAAAGTAGTATATAGAGGATAATCTTTGGAACCGCTGGTCGGATTGCCAAAATTCTTTCACTGATAGATAGCTACAATGTTCCCGAGTGCTATAGGCTATAAAACATCACGCTACGACCAAAAGGCGACCGAGCAGCGGGTGAAACAGTGCGCCAGTAGTTAATAAATAAAACAAGAAATTAACAAAATATAACAAATATATTTGTTTACTTACATCTATATATATATGAAACATGATTATATTGGTACATGTTGTAAATTATACATAGAAACCTTATTTACCTAACCTGAAAGTTTATGAAGGAATTAATATACAATATATAAATATTTAATCGTAAAATCAGAATGTTCCTTGGTACACGGTAAAAATCACTTTTGTCAAAGAGTAACGATGGAGTTTCTTGCTCGTTCTTCTCCATTCGAATCTATAATTTGGAACGAGCACCTAGCTTCACTGACGAACAGACTCCTATTCTATTGTGACGTTTCAAAAGTACCTGTCTAAGAGCTGATTTTTCAATGGTTAGATAAAAGTTTCAGTTTGTGTACTTGCGCGACCCACCCAAATGTTCTTTCGATCGGTATTGTTCGTCGGACAACTCAGCAGCACTAGCTATACTGGTTGCAAACTGACACTAGCGTGCCTGTCTTCAGAACGGGTCCACTTAAACTGGTGTGGTTCTTTCCTCAAAAGACCACTACAGAATGAATTTGCACGGTTCTCTCACATTATATTATTTTTACATTGTCTGGACTTGAAAAGAAACTGACCTCTGAGTTTGTTTCGGCATTTCTTCTCAGAGTAGTCAGATAGGAAATGCCGGCTTCATCTAGTTTTTCACATATAATTTGACGTGTAAAAGTGCCGTTTTATGGCCTATTTGCAAAAATAAATTCATTGTTTCATTGTTGTTACCTGCGGAATAGTTATGATGCTGTCGCGTCAGAATGTTTGTATAAGACAGTGACAGCAACAATTTTATTCCTTAGATAACATTTATCTGACTATTGGAAAATCAGCCTAAGGATATTTAAAATAAATGTTTTGACTTTGATTTTGACATTGACATATGTCCAAACCGATTTATATTTGACCAAAAAACATCCCATTACAAAAAAAAATCATTGAATAACCCTGTTCTGAAAACACAATTCTTACTACAAAATTGTTCTACTTAGATAGCTCACACAAAAATGAACTAGATACCGTTTGAGCTCGAAATTGATCGGGTTATCCCGAAAAGTGTAAAGTTAACTGTATACTATTCTTTTTTTATATGCAAGACATATGTTCCCGTAATTTTAACAGTTTTATATATTAAATTTATAAATTATAATAAAAAAAACCCTTATACCAACTTATAATTTTAAACTCAGCATTATAATATATGACATTGTATGATTTTTCTTGTGACATACTACAATACTTCAAGACTTCTAACGTATTTTTTTGCAATTTACTTTTCAATATTGGATGTTTGGATGATAATAAAACATATATTAGCAGCAGTTTCATGTATTTTCGAGTTACTTTTTTTTAAATAATTATCGGTAAGTTTATTTAAACCTAGCGACCCGTCCTTGCCTCACACAGGTGCAACACTGATACTAAATGTCTCCACTATTTAATGGATGTCATTATACATATAAACCTTCCTCGTCAATCACTCTGTCAATTAAAAAAACCGCATCAAAATCCGTTGCGTAATTTTAAAGATTTAAGCATACAAGAGACTATTAATCTGTTTTGACTTACATCATATAATATAATATTGATTATTTGACTTTGACTTTGACTTTTGACTTTGTCTTTTGACTTTGACTTTTGACTTTGACTATAAATGATTTAGAGTTTGTAAATTGCAAAAAATATACGTACTTTTTTTCTGGTTAGCTTGAAGCTTACATCTTTATAATGATTTTCCGATGTTATTTGGAAAAACAATATTAGATTTTGTCATATATTTATATGGTTACAACATTTTTCTGATCATATAGTTGAGTATACCGCCGTTCTTAAAGTATGTTAGGTCGACTTCTGTATCAAAACGGACCTTAACTTGGAATGTCTTTCCGTTGTCCACCTGTGGGAATAAAGTGGGATTAAATATCTATACACATCATCATCATCAGCCTATAAGTGCCCACTGCTGAGCAAAGGCCTCTTCTCACACGGAGAAGGTTTGAGCATTAACCACCACGCTTGCTCAAGGCAGATTGAGGATTTCAAACTTATAATTAGAAATTACAAGTCCAGGTTTCCTCACGATGTTTACCTTCACCGTATGTCAGTGGTGTCTAAATAATCACAGAAAGTACATATAACTCGGATAAAGTCACATTGGTACTTGCTAGATTTCGGACCGGCACCCTCATGCATAAGGGATAGGATACTTATCCATCACACCTAGATGTAAAAATCATTTTTTGGTCCGGCCCTACAGAACACCGGCATGAAAATATTACCAATCTCCAGATCTCTCCAATCCTCAAAGGCTGTCAAAACATCTGCAGCTTGTCCTATGTGGCGAGGGATTGATTGCTTACCATCAGGTAATCCGTCAGCTTGTTTTTCAGCGCTGCCCATTTCGGAAAATGGGGGTTCCGGAGATATAAGGATTAGGTCTCCAGTAACCTCACTCACACGGCGAAACACAACGCTATTGTTGTTTCACGCCGGTCTTTCTATGAGGCCGTGGTATCACTCCGGTCGAGCCGACCCATTCTTGCCGAAGCATGGCTCTCCCACACTTTAAACTTTATATATAGTATTATAATATTACCTGAACACTGATTATTTGTCCCGGAGTAATATTCTCGGGTAATTCAATGTTGAATATTTCGCTGCCATTCAGGCCGAAAGTCTCAGCGTTTTCTCCCTCCATAAACTGTAGGGGAATGATTCCCATACCGACTAGGTTGGAGCGATGAATCCGTTCGAAGGACTCCGCTATAACCGCACGAATGCCCTGCAAAAAAGGATATAGTTGTTAAGATATAATTATTATTATTTATTAAAAACTAGCGGACTTAATTCGAGGGTCTGCGGACGGCGAGTAAGGGTAGCTCGCCGCCTGAACAGAACCAGACCCGAGCGTACGGCGCGTAGCGCCTCAAAGAACCAATAGACCACCACAGACGGGGCCTTATAGGGCTGATGTTCAGCCGGGGTGAAGGCGTTATGTGGGTTACGAGGGATTTATGGTTAGGGGGTTTGAGAAAGGGGGGGAGGGTTAGGAAAGGGGGATAGACGGGGGTAGCTCCTCCTATAACCTCACTCACACGGCGAAACACAACGCTGTAGGTGTTTCACGCCGGATTTCAGTAAGGCCGTGGTATCACTCCGGTCGAGCCGACCCATTCGTACCGAAGCATGGCTCTCCCACACTGGATATGCTGGTGTCTATAAGATCTTATATTAACAATATACTTACAAGTAGGTAGGGTCCTTTAGCTGCCCAGTCGCGACTGGAACCAGAACCATAGTCCTTTCCAACCACAGCGATGAGAGGAACGTTCTCGGAGGCGTATCTGTTGAAGAAAATATGTTCATCTATGATCTATCCTTACTAATATTATAAAGAGGTAAAATTTGTAAGTTTGTATGTAGGGAGTAATCTTTGGAACCGCTGGTCGAATTGCCAAAATTCTTTCACTGATAGATAGCTACAATGTTCCTGAGTGCTATAAAACATCACGCTACGATCAAATAGAGCCGATCAGCGGGTGAAACCGCGTGACAGTAGCTAGTAATACATATAAAATAAAGTCACACTATTAGTTTTATTAGTTACACTATTTATAACTCAAGAACGGCTGAACCGATTTGGGTGAAAATTAGAAGGAAGGTAGCTAAGAACTTGGAGAAAGATGTAGGATAGGGTAGAGAAGGATAGGTGGGGTAGGGTAGGTGGGGTAGGGTAGGTGGGGTAAGGTAGGTAGGGTAGGGTAGGTGGGGTAGGGTAGGTAGAGTAGGGTAGGTAGTTAGAGGTACGAAGAGCAGGGTAGGTAGAGTAGGGTAGGTAGAGTAGGGTAGGTAGAGTAGGGTAGGTAGAGTAGGGTAGGTAGAGTAGGGTAGGTAGAGTAGGGTAGGTAGAGTACGGTAGGTAGAGTAGCGTAAGTAGAGTAGGGTAGATAGAGTAGGATAGGTAAGGCATGGTAGGTAAGGCAGGGTAGGTAGAGTAGGGTAGGTTGGTACCTAGATTGGGTAGTGTAGGCAGTCAAATGACGTGAAGTAGTATTGTGTGGTGACGTCATATCATATTGTTTCTTTATATGACGTCATCTCATGTCATTGTGTCTTATTTTGACGTGATGTCATGTCATATTATGTCGTGAATTAAAGTTATGTTCATATCATATCATGTTGCCTTGTCAGGCCTTGTCCCTTACCTGTCGGCGGCATCAAATATATCCATGAGGTCTCCACTGGGATGGTGAGTGGTCTTAGGCCCGGGTGCGGGCGCCATCTTGTTCACGATACGGATGTTGGCGAAAGTACCGCGAGACATGACCGCGTCGTTGCCTCGACGGGACCCGTAAGAGTTGAATTCGCGGGGAGTTAAGCTGAAAAAAATAATAATTGATTAATGTTTATGCCCGACAATTGAGATAGTATAGTACAGTAACAATAAATTTATATAAAATTTAGAACGGATAACCTTATAATATAATGTACAAAATACAAAAAAATAATATTAATATCTAAATACCTATTAAAATATAAACATAATAGCAATACTATACATACTTAGAATATGAAATAATTGAGCATAATTCTATATAGAACAAGCCTGCCTCTCTTCTAATTTACTATTTGCTGTGCCCATCAGGGTCCATGATTGTTACTATACATATTATTACCATCTTATCTTACATTGTGGATGCAATAAAAAATTATGATTATGATTATGATTATGAGATCTGCAGATTTTTGGTATAAAAACTATCCTATGTCCTTTCTCGAGTTCCAAACTATGTCTGTACCAAATTTTACAGAAATCGGTTCAGTAGTTTAGGCGTGAAGAAAAGACAGACAGACAGAGTTACTTTCGCATTTATAATATATATAAGTTTGGATGTATATAGAGATGATATTTAAACACGTCATGATTGTACTCATGATGTCGGGGGTTCGATTGCCGCATGAAACAACTCTTTGTGTGTGTGAAATTGTATGTTGTTGCATGTAGTGTCGGACAGTATTCACAAGAAAAGTTCTTTCTTCTTTATATTTCTCATATGGTCAAAATAAATTAGAAATACAGCGTTGTGTTTCGCCGTGTGAGTAAGGTTACCGGAGGCCCAATCTTTGCCCTACCCTTCCATTCCCAATTCTTAAATTTTTTTTTTTGAAATATTGCCCCACACTAGGATTTTCTCCTGTGTCGTGGGTGCGGATACAAACATACAATTTCACATACACATGACACAAAGAAGTTGTTCCGTGCGGGAATCGAACTCGCGCCACGATGCACAACAGCCAGTTGCCCAGCCACCGCACCAACCGTGCAGTCAAATATCCTATCATATCCAAAACCCATATCCATGGGCGGCACCCAATATCCATGGGCGGCGCTCATTGCTTACCATCAGGTAATCCGTCAGCTCATTTGCCGACTTATGACAGAAAAATTATTATTATTATTAACTTCCTTACCCTCGATCAGCTAAGAACCGTGCAGCCGGCGAGTTCCTCGCGATGGAGCCCGCTGGGGAGATGTGGTCCGTCGTCACCGAGTCTCCCAGGAGAAGGAGGCAACGGGCGTTCTTCACACCTTGACGGGGCTTCAGGTCCTGAGGAGAGATGAGGCTTTAAAAAATATTATGAATACATTAAAGTATGGATTTTGATGGAGGACTTTATATGAGTACGGATGACCTGATGGTAAGCGATCGGCGCCGCCCATGGACAACTGCACCATCACAGGAGTCACAGGCACGTTGCCGGAATTTTAAGAAGGAGTACGCTCGTTTCTTGAAAAGTTTGAAGGTCGTATCGGTTCGGATCGGTTCGGAAACACCGCTATTTATTTATTTATTTGGATTTCCAACAAAAAATACACATTACGGACAAGTTTTAAAAATCAAATATTAAATTTTCTTGTGTTTCCTTAATTATAGGAAAACACAGCATGCATTAAATTATAATTATGCAAAAAACAAAATGAAATTATTTAAAAACATTTCAAAAATCAATTAAAATTAGCATTAATGTAACAAACCAGTTGAAATAAATTAAAACAAAACAATGCAATGAAAAATGAAATAATATAAAATAAAATAAAAAATATTCAAAACAAGACAATTGAAATAAATTCAAATTAAACATATATGAATTATTCATTTAAGGTGAACTTGAATTAAACAAACCGCTATCATTATTATATATCGCTAACATAGTTTTGTAACGGGACAAGCCCGTCTCAACCTCCCAAAACCGCTGCAACTCCTGTGCACCAGTATCTACAGTCATAATGCAGATTAAGATCCGTACTAGTAGATAGTATGTGTTGCATTCGTCCGTGCGTCACTGCAGGGGTGCCAACTGAAAATCAGTGTTGGGTGCTCTGTGCCCAGCTTTTGCTGAGTTGGCGACCCATTCGGATTGGGCATGTCCGCCAACCCAGGGTATCTACTATTATTCTAACTTTGTTAGTCTGTTTTAAGGTTATTGTTTTGATTAATTTTATTTTCATTTAATTTTGTTGCCCTGTTATTCAAACTTTTTATTGTATTTATTTTTGTTCTTGTCTTATTCCGAATAAAAATAGTTTTCCTTCTTTCTTTCTTACAGTAGATACAACCATGAAAACACCGGAACACTGAAGTCCAGCGCGTCCCGCAACGAAATAAATCAGAAGATATTATTTGAGGAGAAGAAAAAACTAAATAGTTTCTTCTTCCGTCGTTAATTTTACCATTCTTCTATACTAATATTATAAAGAGGTAAAATTTGTAAGTTTGTATGTAGGGGGTAATCTTTGGAACCGCTGGTCGGATTGCCAAAATTCTTTCACTGATAGATAGCTACAATGTTCCTGAGTGCTATAGGCTATAAAACATTACGCTACGATTAAAAGAAGCCGAGCAGCGGGTGAAACCGTGCGAGAGTAGCTAGTCATGAATACAATCACGTATATCAATCACTTATTACTCTACTCGGAATTTTAATTTAATTACAATTTTAGTGTTGTAACGTTATGACACATACTAAATAGTGACGTTGCGAAATTATTCGATTTGGAAATCGAATATTTCCGAATCGTATCTAAGTTTACTTTCGTAAACTAAATTTATCAGGAAATTAAATATTTCTGAACCGATAATTTAGTTTTGACAATTAATTAACGATCTGATACTTTTCTTTTATAACAGTGTGTGAAATTAATAAAAAAAATGTGATCAATTATGGTAATAATTTATTTTATAAATTGTCGCCGTCATCGCTATAACTATCGCTGTTACTTTCTGTAACATTTATTACGATATTATCAATTAACATATCTAGCTTATTAACTTTCCCCTTCTTTGACAACATGGGATACGCATTTAGACCATTCGGTAGCCGTAATTTTTTGAGCTGATTCACTGAGTGTTTATCGGTTTTTGGGTTCATCACTACACTGTTTTATGTGGTATCATTACTTCACAAAATGGCAGTGGTTAATGTCAAGTCTGGAATTGAATTAAAAATTCTAATTCTATTCTAATATATAGGTAGATAAATAAATTAGTTCCTTGACTTACCCTGGTCATACCGTCGAAGAACGGTGGTTTCTTGATGTAGGTGGAGTTGGGGTCCCAGCCGTACAGTTTGCCCTGTGGCACGTCCAGCGCTTGCCACGACGGAGAGCCCAGCTCAATTTTAGCGTATACCTAGAAAAAAATATTGTTTAACTAAAGTCTAGGTTAAATTTTAGGTTCTTGAGGTTAAGGAGCCCGCTTCTCATGCATGACGGTTTGAAACCTGGAAAGTACCAATGTGACATTTTCCGAGTTATATGTACTTTCTATGATTATTTAGACACCACTGACATACGGTGAAGGTAAACATCGTGAGAAAACCTGGATTTATAATTTCTTATTAAAGTTTGAAATCGCCATTCCGGAAGTATGAGGCAGCGAAACCTGTCAAACCTGTCCTATGTTTTATGATATTTAATGACATAAGTAAACAAATGTTGCTTAAACTTTTCTACAACAAAAAAAACCTTGACTAACCTCCTTAAACATTCCAGGGATGACGTGTTTGTTCTCGACCTCCTGTATCTCAGCGCGAGTTGGCCAGATCTCACGCAAATACACCGGGCTTCCGTCCGCTCTGGTACCTATGGAAAAGAGACATTTATTTTCATAATTTTAAACTATCTTCTTCTTATATATAAAAATGGATCGCAAAATGTGTTGGTAAGCGCATAACTCAACAACGCCTGGACCAATTTTGCTAATTCTTTGTTTGTTGTGTTTGTTATGGTCAGGAAAAGGTTCTTATCAAAGTAAATGTTAGAAAAGTAGAGGGGAAAATAGGAAAAGTGAACCTTTGATAGCGAGATAGTTGGACCCGTGCGAAGCGGGGGCGGGCTGCTAGTAGTCAATGAAAATAAAGACTTGCTCACGTGTCATGGCTCTTCGAGGCGCGCGCGGAACGCTACGCGCCGTACGCATCTATTTATGATTAAGTTTAGAATGAATGATTTTAACATTGACTTACCTAACGGTTGAGTTTCAAAATCGATGTCGACAGTCCCGGCGAGGGCGTAAGCGATGACCAGGAGAGGCGAAGCGAGGTAATTAGCTCGCGTGTTGGGATGGATGCGACCTTCGAAGTTACGATTGCCTGAGAGCACGCCACAGCATACCAGCTCGTTCTGACGAGAAGAAAAGAGTAAATAATATCAAGACACCACTATTTGAATGAAACGAGCAGACGGATTACCTGATGGTAAGCAATCAGCGCCGCTCATGGACAGCCCCAATATCAACATACTTCATTGTTTGATAAAACGTTGTCCCATACTAGGAATTTTAAGTATGGGAGAGCCATGCTTCGGCACGAATGGGTCGGCACGACCGGAGTGATACCACGGCCTCACAGAAAACCGGCGTGAAACAACCACAGCATTGTGTTTCGTCGTGTGAGTGAGGTTACCGGAGGCCCAATCCTTCCCCGCCCCCAATCCCTCCTAAATCCCTAAATCTCCAAATCCCTAATCCCTAAAAGGTCGGCAACGCCCTCGTAACCCCTCCGTTGCGAGTGTCCATGGGCGGCGCTGATTGCTTACCATCAGGTAATCGGTCTGCTCGTTTACAGACCTATTACATAAAAAAAGGAATTTCTCCTATGTCGTAGGTTTATTTTTGTGAGGGGAAAATCATCAAATGACTTCTCCCGTTTAGGGTAAGGCTAGAGAGAGTGTCAGACTCTTACTGACTAAAAACAGAGGCCGCAGTGCCTCATTACTGGCCCCGGAACCTTGTGTTCCTGTGTCGTGGGTACGTTTACAAACATACAATGTCACATACACATTACACCCAGACACGGAACAACAATTTGTGGATCACACAAAGAGTTGTTCCGTGAGGGAATCTAACTCGCCAACTGAGCAGTCAAAAGTTGCAAGTGCATTCCCTGCCTTTTGAAAGGGATTTGGGGAAGAGGAGGGAAGGGTTGATATGGCCACTGGTTCAATGATATCTCCCGACCTGAGTGGAACGAGATGGAGTGGCAGACTCTTACTGACTAAAAACCTCCCCGTTCCTTCTCTTGCTCTATGCCGAGCCCGCGTTGAACATCAGCCCTATAGGGCCCCGTCTGTGGTAGTCTACTGGGTCTACTGGTCTTTGAGGCGCGCGCGGAACGCTAGGCGCCGTGCGCTCGGGTCTGATTCTGGTCGGGCGGCGAGTTGCCCTTACTCGGCCTCGACTAAGGCCGGGCGCGAGGGGTCGCCGCTACCGATCACTTCCCTGAGGACACGGCGGTGCTCAGCCCAGGCAGGGCATACCGCCACCGTATGCTCCACCGTATCCTCTAGGTGGTCCTCACAATGACGACACTCGGGCGTTTCCTCCCGCTGGATCCGAAACAGGAACCTACCGAAGCTGCCGTGCCCGGTAAGCACCTGCGTCAGGCGGAAGGTGAGGACGCCGTGGCGTCTCTCAAGCCACTTCTCAAAGAGGGGTCTTACCGCTGCTATAATAGCGTGCCAAATCCCTTCCTAATCCTTAAATATCCGAAACCCTTATCCCCAAAAGACCGGCAACGCACTCGTAACTTCTTTGGTATTACGTATGTCCATGGGCGGCGCTGATTGCTTACCATCAGGTAATCCGTCTGCTCGTTTGACATAAAAAATACTATGTAGGGGTCTTTCTTCAGATTACCTTCTCAATTGTGTTGGCGATATTGTCGTCAATAGGCCCTGAGTTTCCTATACACGTCATACAACCATATCCGACTATGTTGAAGCCAAGTTTCTCTAAGTACGGGACCACTCCAGATTCCTGTAACAATAAAAATTTTTTTTACTTGATATAAAATAGTGCTTGACTGCGATCCCACCTGATGGTAACCAGTGATGCAATCATTGATGGTATGGCGCACTAGTTTATTAAGAGACTATTCACTCTAGCCTTGAAGACTTCTAAATTATATTTGGACGGAAAGACTGCAGCCGGCAAACTGTTCCAGTCCCTTGATGTACAATGATGATGAAACAACTATATTGTATTTTTGTAAATCTATATATACTTCCAAACTAATATTATTATTATTATAAATGCGAAAGTAACTCTGTCTGTCTGTCTTTTCTTCACGTCTAAACTACTTAAACTATTTGTGTGAAATTCGGAACTTAGACAGACATAGTTTGGAACTCAAGAAAGAGTTTTTAAACCAAAAATCTGCAGGAAGTCACTATTCCACGCGAACAAAGTCGCGGGCAAAAGCTAGTAGCTGTAGCTGTAATATTGAAATATTATTTACATAAATATATGAATCTGTGTATACGGTACATATACAAAAATAACGCTTTTTACAGTTTTTGTTTGTATGTCTGTCTGTTTGTTACGGCTAATCTATTGAATAGCTCGACCGATTTTAACCAACTTTTGCTTGTTTGACAGCTGATGTTATATGAAGTAACTTAGGCTAATTTCATTTTCGAAAAAAAACTTTATTTTATCTCGAAATAACAAGATAAAGCTAAAATCTAAATGAAAAAACTTAAAGAAATATTATATCTGGACTTCTTATAGAAGACCTTAGAAGTATAGAAGACTTAATGGTATAGATCTAGATGTATAGAAGACCTAAATGTCTGCTTACCCTGAGATAATAGGTCACCACTCCAGATCCAGGTGACAGTGAGGTCTTAATGTAGGGGAGCACGCTAAGACCATTCTCCACCGCCTTCTTCGCGAGAAGACCTGAAAACATAATTAATATTACATAACTTGCTTTTAACCGCAACTTAGCCTACATGATAAATGGAAAAGAAAGACCACAAGTCTCTCCTTTTTTTATGTAACACGGCGGAAAAAAAAGCAGACGAATAACCTGATAGTAAGCAATCGGTGCCGTCTTTGGACACCAGTAAAACCGAAGCGCGTTGCTGGACTTTTGACGATAAGGGTTTTGGAGATTTAGATATTGGGGGAGGGGAAGGATTGGGCCTCCAGTAACGGTTGTTTAACGCCGGTTTGCTGTGAGGCCGTGGCATCACTCCGGTCGTCCTGACCCATTGGCCTTACGTGACCACACCAAACTTAACCACCTCTTCTGATTCTTAAATATTGAAGATATTTTCAGATACAAAAATCTGTAGTCTAAGATCTTAATTCCATTTATTTTCTAAAATTACAGCAGCAATTTTTTTATGTTATAGGTCGGTAATCGAGCAGACGGATTACCTGATGGTAAGCAATCAGCGCCGCCCATGGACACCCGCAACATCAAAGGAGTTGTTGTCGAGTGCGTTGCCAGCCTTTTAGGGATAAAGGTTTAGGTATTTAAGGATTGGGAAGGGATGAGGGAGGGATTGGGCCACCGGTAACCTCACTCAGATGGCGAAACACAACGCTGTGGTTGTTTCACGCCGGTTTTCTGTGAGGCCGTGATATCACTCCGGTCGAGCCGACCCATTCGTGTCGAAGCTTGGCTCTCCCACACTTAATCAACACAGAATCATCTAAACTATCGAATACCGGTAAGGCGCACTAGTTTATTATTTTAATAAACTAGTGCCTTACCATCAACCATTGCATCACTGTTTACCATCAGGTGGGATCGCAGTATAGCAAGTAAAAAAAACCTGACTGTTTTCACCAGCTAAACAGCCAATTTTGGGGATTATGATAAATACTTTTAAGACAATTTATTCACCAATGGTTGTATCTTAAATCTTAAAGTATAAGCTTATGAAATTGTTGAGTGTGGTGATTATATTGAGCTTGGAGATTATGGTGAATATGGTGATTATGGGTAATATATGTATAACAAAATTCCAGTTTGGGGATTAAAATGAGTTCAGGGATTATGGCGAGTACGGGGATTATGGTGAGTACGGTGATTATGATAAAGAACTAGTAATTATAAACTTACCGGCGCCCAGCATGACGCTAGGGTTGGAAGTATTGGTGCAGGATGTAATGGCGGCTATGATCACGGATCCGTGAGTAATGGTGTAGGTCTTGCCATCGCTGTAGCTGAAGCTGCCTGATGCTGAAAGGTTGGCGGGGGAGAGACCGTAGCCTTTGAAGCCGACCTGGAATGATGAGGTGGAATTTAATATCGATTGACAGCCGAGCGACGGGTTATAACTAAACTTAATACTAAACATTTTCTTAATCTATACTAATATTATAAAGAGGTAAAATTTGTAAGTTTGTATGTAGGGGGTAATCTTTGGAACCGCTAGTCGGATTGCCAAAATTCTTTCACTGACAGATAGCTACAATGTTCCTGAGTGCTATAGGCTATACAACATCACGCTACGATCAAACGGAGCTGAGCAGCGGGTGATACCGCGCGAGAGTAGCTAAGTAATAATTAATAATACTTTAAGCGATAATACTTTATCATTTGATTTGATTTGTTAAAGAGTTTATTTTCGTGCCGAAGCATGGCTCTCCCACACTTATTACATTCCCTCTCAAAAAGAAAGCACCCTAATTATATCACATCAACCTACACTTAAATTAACAACCGTGACATTTAGCGAGAACAGACAAAAGCACGTGTCTTAAATCATTAGTAATTAATTAATAAATAAAACAAACTGGAACATTTCCGCTTTGCTAGCATCTTTTTATTAATTATTGTTCGTTCGAAGACCTTGCTGACTCAGTTTTTGCTTGATACAACTTATACTAAACGGTTTTGCTTTCTTTTATTTATTTATTTATAATATATAAAAATGGATCGCAAAATGTGTTGGTAAGCGCATAACTCAACAAAGCCTGGACCAATTTTGCTATTTCTTTTTTTGTATTGTTTGTTATTGTCAGGAGAAGGTTCTTATCAAAGAAAATATTAGAAAAGTAGAGGTGAAAATTAGGAAAAGTGACCCTTTGATAGCGAGATAGTTGGACCCGTGCGAAGCGGGGGCGGGCCGCTAGTTTTTATAATAAATGAACACTTTCGTATTCGATAAAGTTTTTTTGCACAATAATTGGAAATTCGAGACAGAATAGGAGAACAATAGGTGCGCGAAAGCCGGCGTTCGATTGGGTGTTTGATGAATTAAATGAAAAGGAGGTAGACTAGCAGTCGGATCACCTCATTGTAAGTGATCAGCGGCGCCAATGGACCTTTAATGGCCTTTTAAGAAGGAGTACGCTCGTTTCTTGAAGGTTTGAAGGTCGTATCGGTTCGGGAATACCGCCGCCGGAATATGTTTCCGAAGTTTAGCTGTGCGGGGCAGAAAGTTACGCGAGAATCGAACGATCAATACTTTGTTCATTTTTTAAAATATAAATTTATGCAATAAAAATCTTAACACCACATGTTAATGGTGAAATGCCACGAGCAAATATACAAACTTACATCCACATTCAATTGTTATATTATTTATATTAAGTAGTGGAGTATCGAGAAAGACTTACATATGGATGTATATGCTTACTAAGACAATTTTATATGAATATAAAAACATTAGCACTTTTATTTTTAAAGCAGTTTTCAAACACGAACTGTATCGAAGATCGCGTGTTTACTTAACGTTTGTGTTAAAATATTCGTGTACATTTTGTTGGAGATGTGAAGGGGAAAAAATGTGAGTAGGCATTTTTTTTTAATCTATGATCTATCGGATTACGGTACGCAATCAGCGCCGTTAAATGACACCCGCAACGATGAAGGGGCTACGATTGCGTTGTCGACCTTTTTGGGATTTTGGAGAATTTTGGATTGGGGAAAGGATTGGGCCTTCGGTAACCTCACTCACACGCCGGTTTTCTGTGAGGCCGTGGTATCACTCCGGTCGGTGCCGAAGCATGGCTCTCCACCACTTAAACAAATCTTATTTATTTTCACTGTTTGTGACGAGTGCGTTGCCGACCTTTTTGAGATGAGGGATTTGGTGAATTTTGGATTGGGGAAAGGATTGGGCCTTCGGTAACCTCACTCACACGGCGAAACACAAAGCTGTGGTTATTTCACGCCGGTTTTCTGTGAGGCCGTGGTATTTACTCCGGTCGAGCCGAGCCATTCGTGCCGAAGCTTGGCTCTCCTACACTTAAACACATCTTATTTAATTTCTCTGTTTCTGATACGTGAGTTCGTGACCTAAGGGTTTTAGGCTACTCTGTTCATGTATGTCTCGAAAACCTGGCAAGTACCAATGTGACTTTTTCCGAGTTATATGTACTTTCTATGATTATTTAGACACCACTGACATACGGTGAAGGAAAACTGGTTACTGAAAGGGAATAATAAACTCTTTTTTTAGGGGTAAAGTCCTCACATAGGGGTAAAGTAATGTATAAAAAATTTATTATTGGTGAATTGTAAAACAATTTTTTTTTAAAGAGTAACGAATAGAGTTTCTTGCTCGTTCTTCTCCATTCGAATCTACAATTTGGAACGAGCACCTAGCTTCACTGACGAACAGACTGACAGACTACTCCTCTATTTTGACGTTTCAAAAGTACCTATTTATGGTTTAGTTGGAATAAATGATTTTAACTTTGACTTATATGTTAACCTTTCAGACGTGGTAATAAGAGTTACAATAGAACAACAATAGGTGCTCGTTTGATGAATAACAATGAAACAATGAATTTATTTTTGCAAATAGGCCATAAAACGGCGCTTTTACACGTCAATTTATATGTGAAAAACTAGATGAAGCCGGCATTTCCTATCTGACTACTCTGAGAAGAAATGCCGAAACAAACTCAGAGGTCAGTCTCTTTTCAAGTCCAGACAATGTAAAATAACATAATGTGAGAGAACCGTGCAAGTTCATTCTGTAGTTGTCTTTTGAGGAAAGAACCACGCCAGTTTAAGTGGACCCGTTCTGAAGACAGGCACGCAAGTGTCAGTTTGCAACCAGTATAGCTAGTGCTGTTAAGTTGTCCGACGAACAATACCGATCAAAAGAACATTTGGGTGGGTCACGCAAGTACTTAAACTGTCAGAACACAGATAACTATTATCTAAAAACGCGGCAAAGTCTCACACAGTCCTTACACTAACAGTGTTCAACAATGAATTGTAATATTATCTATACTAATATTATAAAGAGGTAAAATTTGTAAGTTTTTATGTAGGGGGTAATCTTTGGAACCGCTGGTCGGATTGCCAAAATTCTTTCACTGATAGATAGCTACAATGTTCCTGAGTGCTATAGGCTATAAAACATCACGCTACGATCAAATGGAGCCGAGCAGCGGGTGAAACCGCGTGAGATTAGCTAGTGGATAATACTTTAAGCGATAATAGTTTATCATTTGATTTGATTTGTTAAAGAGTTTATTTATATAGGACACTGTCAGTGTGCATATGTAAGCGCCATGTTGGAAAAGATCCTTCATGATTGCTTTTAACTACCACTACATAGTATAAAACAAAGTCGCTTTCTCTGTCCCTATAACCCTATGTACGCTTAAATCTTTAAAACTACGCAACGGATTTTGATGCGGTTTTTTTAATAGATAGAGTGATTGAAGAGGAAGTTTTATATGTATAATAACGTCCATAAAATAGTGGAGACATTTAGTTTTTGGCCCATTCGTGCCTCGAAGCAGGACTCTTCCAAACTTAAGATCAGCGCATTCAAACAATTTCTTAACCTTTTAGCTTTAGTATCTCCTTTGAATTGTAAAGCTGATTGAAATTGATAGTCATTGAGTTTGTTGCTCGTTCTTCTCCATCGGAATCTACACTTTGGAACGAGCAAATAGCTTCACTAGAGGACTGACCGACAGACTGACACGCATAAAGTTAAACTTCTTGAAATATATTTTCTTTATCCTTTTTTTGTTTGACGTTCAAAAGTGCCCACTGTGGCCTAATTGAAATAAATGATTTTGACTTTGACTTTGACTTCCATAGTCACAAAGAAACATACAAGTATAGGTAGGTAAATACAGAACCTATTTTATTTCGAAATAAGTTAAAAATGAACTTATTACCGAGAGAACAGATATCGGAAACCACAAAATAAATATCATCATTAAAATATAATTAAATGCTAATTAAAAAACGATCCAATAAACGATAAAGTATAATTTATTAAATACTAGTATTAATAAATAGAGTATGTGGTTATAACGGTAATATATTAGAAGTCTTGTTTTTTTTTCTGCTTACACAAAACAAATAATTTTATAAGGTATTGTGAAATTGATTTTAAAAGAGTAACCATGGAGTTTATTGCTCGTTCTTCTCCATCGGAATCTACACTTTGGAACTAGCAAATAGCTTCACTAGGGGACAGACCAACTGACACTATTTAACTTCTTATATTAAATTATTTTGCCTAACGTTCAAATATTCCTAATATTAGTTATAATAGACTTATTCGTAATTTCCTAGATAAAAAATACAATAACTTCGACTTTTCAATACGATATATAATATCATTGATTTGATACCGTGTTTATATGTGACATGTACTTAAACATTTTTGTAAACGCACCCACGACGAAGACGACAGTCTTTTTTATAAGTAGCATAATCATCGAATAACTCTTCCCGCCTTGGATGAGGCGAGAGAGAGAGTGTTAGACTCTTACTGACTAGAAAACCCCCGTTCCTTATCCTGCTACGGAGTCTGTGATCCACGAAGGTTACTTCAAAACGCGAGTGAATCGCCCGACCAGATCCAGGCCCGAGCGTACGGCGCGTAGCGTTCCGTTCTCAAAGAGCCAATAGACCACAGACGGGGCCCTATACAGCTCATGTTCAGCCGGGGTTGCGGGGTAAGCGGAATGAGGCACCGCGACCTCGGCACAGAGCAGGAGAAGGAATGGGAGGGTTTTTAGTCAGCAAGGGCCTGGCATTCTCTCCGGCCCGGTCCAGGGCGGGAGAAGTCATTTGATGATTTTCCCCTCACAAAAAAAAGACCCGAGTGAATAGGTTGCTCATGGGTAGACGTGCTCCATCGTAGGTCGCATTATCACTTACCAACAGCCGAGATAGCAGCCACGCCAGACTATCACTACATAGTATAAAACAAAGTCGCTTTCTCTGTCCCTATATCCCTATGTACGCTTAAATCTTTAAAGCTACGCAACGGATTTTGAGGCGGCTTTTTTATAG